TCGAAGAAGCTGTCTATATTCAAGTCGATTTTATCCTTAAGGTCACACGTGTGGTCATAATTCATGGACCATGATTGAAACTAACTTTCTGAGACAAACAGTTGAGCTCACGCGTCTTGACAAAGTCCGGAATTCAGATATCCGAAGAATATAACAGCTACTTCTGCGATATTTTGGGCATGGTTTGCGAATGTTTCTAGAAAGGAATGCGAAACCGCTACTACTCGCTTGACCAGCCAAAAACCTGAAAGACCAAGGATGAGCTGGGGCAATTGCCTCGACGGACTTTCCTCCGCACTCAGGTTTTCCTTTGTCAAGACCCAGACAGTGGCAAAGAAGCAGAAACGTTAGAGCAGTATCTCATGCTGCCTCATTTGTGATCCTAAAGGACTCCTGCCTTAGAAATTGGTCATTTATTTCTTAACAAACACGAACAGTATAATGAAAACATTTAACAGAGAACAGGAGTCACGAAGTAGCCATAAGTAAAAACGCAAATCAAAAACAGAGTAGTCATCATGAGTAATACACGAGAAAATACGTTACAAAGAAGCTAGACGCGAATGCTTATCTTCACAGGTCGCCCTTACTCATCACCTAAATTAGCAGATAGATCTTCACTAGTTTATAAATTTTAGCAAACCCTTAGTTTCAGCGACAGAGTAATGGTCGAGACATAGGAACCTAAGGCCAACTGCCAGGGGTGCCGCAACAGTTCCAAATCTTTCTCCTGCAACAGTGTTTTGATTGGAATTAGTACCTGTCCGAGACAACTGCGTTCGCGTTTCATTTCTTTCGCCTTCATATAAAAGTCATAAACAAAATGCCAAAACAGAAGAAGAAATGAAACTACCTCTACTTTCAAATACTGTGATTTGACGTCACTAAGAAAGAACGAGAACTTCTGCTGATATATCGGATTGGATGTTTTCTCTTTGACAGAACTGCTGCGTACGTCACCATCGACGGAAAACTGCACAAAGGAACTCGGTTCGCTGACTTTGTGAGTTTTCTAAAACAACAATAATTGACAAAGATACCTGAAGACTTTCGAAACTGGACAACTGGAAAAGATTTGTAGGAAATGAACATACTGAAAGCAATCAAGACTGCTATAGTAAACTAACTCTATTGATGCTGTATGGCTCAAAAAGTTTAAAAACAATGAAGAATGCATGCCAGCGGCAATGGAGATGATCTGTTGGGAAAAAATCAAAGGAGACTGAGTTGACTATAATCCATAATGACTTAACTACAAAAGGACTGAAAGTAAATTGTACGGTAACTGACAGGTGATAAATGTTTACCGGAGTGGTATGGGTTTCTAAAAAGAATGGCTACAACAGATTGTTATGGCAAAATAGGGTAATGCGCGTAGAAGAATACAAAAGAAGAGAGTCAGAAAAAGACAGACTTGAGGAAGGGGCATTAGAGGCGACAGCAGCATGAAAAGACGGAGTCACTGTGAACAACGACGTAGATAATTTGCAGTGCATCGATTCATCAGCTCTAGAGGCTGGAAACATAAATAAGTTAAACAGCAAGAAACATTCATCATATTCTAGCGTTACTAAGAAAAGTTAGTTTTTGAAACTGCAGGTCACAATATCATATACCCATCTCTTCTCTGAATTTACAACAATGGTATGCATGATTAACGTATGGACCCCAGCTTCTAAAGGCTTCTGAAACCTGTTAAGTAAAACATGGTTCAATAGTGAGACAGCATGTACAGAGCATGGATACATAATGCAGGGTAGATTTTTGTCATTATACAACAGTAAGAAAAGAAATAACTTACAGGAAGATTTTTAATGGAGTGAAGATAAATCATCAGCAGAGCGCTGCTGTGTGAAGGCGATGAATCCACGTTTGTCTTAACGAATGAATCCAAGTAGTTTTTGCTGAGGTCAAACCATCGTATGCAAAGGAAGAGTTCGCCGTGACGCACAAATTCCAATGGAAACCACTATAAACAGGTACAACAAGAATAAATTATTGTTAGATTACGAAAAAGTCAAAATTCGTGAAAATGCCACCACAATCGATTAACGTTATCATTATCACTGTATCGAAAACATGAAATGTTTGAGCAACATGTAATTAGCACCACCAAGAAGTGAAAAGGGAAAATTCCATTTTTATAGAAGTAACGTGATGGATATCAAAACGGTACGCAGTGAATGTTCAAGAATTTCACAGTAAGATGTTTCTTCCATCCTGAAAGCTAGCAATAGACACTACGGACAGGGTGATTCCCATTTAAATAATTTAATTGTCGTTAAAACGGGCTGCGTATTACTGCTCAGCAAACAGTTTATACTGCTATCTATGAGTATGTTTTCGCTTCTGCTTCCTTTATTTGTGTTCAAAAGCTAGACTTGACGCAACCTTAAACAATAAACTTTCAACTTTACCAGGGCACCAACAAGCAATTGGTCATAATGATATTTGGTTGAAACATAAAAATCAGAAGATATCGAATTATTGCTGAATTAAATAGCATACTCGTTTGACT